CTTTGCTCGTATTTTATTAGCCAAAGCAAATCATATGGCCATGCTTGAATTCAACAGGGCAGAGATGTATAATCATTCCACAGGGAGAGGCACTTCAAGGAGAGGCAAGAAATATAGGTGAACAGTACTGTAATCTACTGTTCTTATTATGTGTGAGGCTCTCTTCATCTATGTTTACAACAAACTTATAGAGTAGGTACTATACTTACCCCATTTTATAGACGAAAAAATGAAGGCTCAGAGTTTCATGACTTTCTTAAAGGTCATACAGTAGAACCCAACAGTCTGAATCCAGAGCCTGTGCTCTTAAACACCATACTGTAGTCTTTACATTGGGCTTCTCATCAAATCCATGAGTACTAGTCTTTAGCCCTAGACCAATGGGGGTATTTTAAATAAGTTATGAAATTATACAAAAGGCTATGTATGACTACAGAGGAAACCTCAGTATAATTCCAGTGTACTGATTAATGAATGAATTCCAAAAAGACAATAGTTCCAGTCATCTTTAAAGATAAAAGTCAAACGCACTCAAAATAGTGATAGTTTATTGCAACTGAATTTTTGGTAACCAAAAAACATATATACCTCTATATATTTAAAAGATCACTGCCAGTCATTGAATTAAGCATGCCATGTAATCTGATTTTTCACTTTCCTAGGATAGAAATAAGCCACCAAATGCACGGGCTCACCTAGGCTTGCTTTCAGAGTGTGTCCTATTTATACTCCAGATAAAGCAAACCCCAAAACAAGGATGCTCATTGGGCAGACCCTAAAACTAAACTCTAATATTGTAGTTTCTGGGTAGAGCCAGGATGTGAGTTTTTGTATAGACATGAAGCCCTTGAGGACCAGAGTCAATTAGGAAACAAGCAGCTAATTGGGAAAAGGTAGCTGAAATCATGGAATTCAGGCCCTCTAGCAAACAAAGGCAATAAATCCCTGGCCACAGTCTGATCAAATTCACAGGCTGAAAGCTAGATGTACATTCCTATGGATAGATTCCATAGCCAAAGTAACTAACAATCACTGGACCCCTCCTGCCTCATTTCCTAATATTGATGTCTTTTTCTAGAATATTAATAAACTTTTAACCAGGTAAGTGAACAGACAAAAATCTGTTTTTAATATGGAATCTGCCAAATATTTCAGTTGAGCATACTTGGGTTTCAACTCATTTTGTCCTTGTAACAACCCCATGAGGGAGCTATTCAGATTAGCCTGACTTTATAAGTGAATGAACTAAAACTTACAGAGCTATGGTAACTTGCCCATACTCCAATAAAGCAGACTTTGTCTGTGTCTCTGCATTTACAGCATCTACACAGTACCTGACCCACAACTGGTACACAGAAAGTAGTTGAATGAATGAATGAATGAGCAAGCAATAGCTTCTTTTCACACATGTGTAAGCCATTGTGATTCACTTCTGTTATATCTTCTCCAGCCTCAGCCCTCCCCACTTAGACTGGGCCACCATCACTGTCTGATCTTTTCCAAGGCCTAGAGTTGGATGGCAGTGGAAGGAAGAGGTTGCTTAGTTAATCAACTTCAAATTCTTTGTTTCCACATTTCCTCTTAAGAGCAAACAAGCTAATGTAATCCTGGAGGAGGCAGCTCTTGGGAAAATGTTTTCCCACTACATGCCTCACCTCATATGTTTCCAAACACAGTCTCCACAGGCTCCATATTTTTTTTCTAATGCAATTTGCAATCCCCATCCAAATAAGGCAGTCTAAAAAGGGCACCATTCTGTTTTAAAATTTTTGGTCTTGATTTTCAGCCATTAATGGAATTAACCACACTTTGCCCTTGGAAAAGTTGCATTCCTGATTCTCTTTGCCATCTCACTTATACGGGCAAAGAAGGGAGGTGGGGTGTCAGGCAGAAGGAATCAGCTTGGCGTCTGTGGCATGAGCACTCCAGAAATTCCACTCTCTGGAAAATCTACATCTCCTGTAGGTGTTGTAGCTGGGGCCCACAACTAAGGACAGAGGCCACACAGCTGCTCTCTTTTTAGCTCTTTTCTCTACCTTTATCAAAGGCAGAAAGGTACTGATTTGAAGGGACAGGGACTTGCCTTTTAGAATCTCCTTCCCTGAAGACTTTAAGGATGCAAGGAAGTTCGATCTACTAAGGCAGTGGTTTTTCAAATATTTCTTAGCCGTGAAACTGTTGGTAAGAGTGAACCTCAATATATAAACTAAACAAAAAGGGTAGTGACTCTGGATAAAGTAGAGAAGGAGACCTAGACCTCTGAGAGCTTTGCCTCCCTATATCAGGCTCTGGGAACTATCCATGAACCCAAGAGGGGACAGAACACAATTCAAAGGTCACTGCCCTTGACTGTAGGTTCCATAGCAGAAGAGTGTGGATTGTGCCTGGCTTACTTGCCTCTGTATTCCCAGCTCTGTGTTCTGTGCTTGGCACATAGTAGGAGTATCATAATAATATATTGAATGAATAGGAGATACCAGTGCCTTGTGGCAGTGGCTGTTGGTTAAGTGACTCATTCTCCTGTGATGTGTGCATGTGCCTGTGTGTGTGCACTGGAGGGAAGATGGACTAAGAGCTGAATGTTGGAGCACACGGGAGATGAGATGAGTAACCACATCTTTGATCGTGAGCTTGCAGCAGCTGGAGTATGATGTGAAGCTGAATGGTGAATCATGAATGAGTATGCAGTTTGCTAGGTTCTTCAGATTTGCCAGGAAAGCTGGCTGGTTTGCTCCTTTATTTGTTAGATAGTGATCTCCTGCCATGTGTCAGGTTAGCTCCTAAGAGATAACAATGACTAAAACCCAGTCCCCGCTGTCACAGGACTTATAGTCTTAGTGAATGAGATATGAAAACAAATCAGTGCCAATAAAGCAGTGTAATAGCGATAACCATTTTAAAAGTGTTACATTGACATATCTTTCATTCCCTATAAATCTTGATGCCCTCGGGTTCACAAAAATCTGTGGGTGAGAGTGGATACCAGCTAGACAAAAAAGTCATTACTTAGCTCTGATGTCAAACTCGGTTTTGGATTTTTAGTCTATAGGCAAGGGTTTGTTTTTTTTTTTTTTTAAACATGAGACTCTCCAGCTAAGTAAAGTACACAACAGACAAAGTGCATCTGAATTTTTACTAATCTTTCACCAAAAATTTTCTTTTGCTTTCATTGTGAATATAAGCAACAAAGTATAGTAATAATAGCCATATCTGTGACTGTGTCATCAATAGATATCACAGACACTTTCATATAACATTAATAATGCTATAGTTCTCTAGAAATATTATTTGCCCTCATCATTAGTTTGAAATTATGGTGGTTAGTTGACCTGCCACTAGATCTTATAATTTAAGCCATTAACAAAGTACTATTCTGTCATGATTTTTAAAAAATATTTTGATAACTATGTTTCAATATTATTTGTAATCCTATGTACCTTATTTTATCTATTGAAGCATATGATTTTAAGAAGGGATCCATAGGGGACCATCAGGCTGCTAAAGGAGTTCACCATGTCATAAAATGGTTAAGAACCTCTGTTAGATAATAGTTTTAAGAGTGACATTTCATCAGGGAAGAAGAGAATTTTCAGATACCAGCCGCTCTGTTTATGTATTCAAAGCAAAACATGAGGTTTTACTATAAGCCACGAGTAAAGAGAATACAGCCTGGGATGCAAAGGGTGTTTCCACCTGCCTGGGAAGTGAAGAAATGTGGAACTATAAAATAAAGTGAGTAGAGAAGGAGAGGAGCAAGCAGACAGATATCAAAGGGGCCTGCAGGAAACCACCAAAACAGTAAGGAGGGGGGGTCCTCATCTGGAACAAACTGAGAAGCTGTGAATCCCCCTTGGAGGAGACCTGCATTTACCTTGGTGCTGGAGCAATGTGACATCCAGATGGTAGGACAGCCATGGGGGCGGGAGATCTCTAAGATAACGGGCCTGATGTAACACTTGTGTTTCTTCATAGTCTGTACGTGGCACATAGAACATCCAAAATATGAAGGAATAGAGAGGACGAGTGAGCCACCAGGTACCTGTGTTTGCAAAGAAGAGATTACAAAATCAGGGAGCTTTGGAACCAGAAACAAATAGCCAGGGCTATGGATTTAACAACAGATGCAACCAATGAAATCCCTAAAAGATTAGAAGGGACCCACTGCACTTCAGCAGACATTAGCACAGGGGAACAGGGACTGTTCCATACCAGCCACTCCATAGCAGAAAATAGGGAACACCCAGAAGAATGATCATGGATCTAAGACTCTATTCTTCTCAACTCCACTGATTCCAGACACCGTGTTTTGTAAGAGGAGGAAAAATGAGGTTAAAATATGCAAGACTCAGCATTTATCCAGAGGCAGATTCTTTCAACTGACACAATGAATTGTGTGTCTTTACTTCCTCCCCCACTACCCAGCAGGATGGGAACCTCCTGGGGGTAGTTTAGTTCAGTTCTAGAGAACATTTTTGCACATCTGAGTTGCTGGGTATACATTCCAACTCTGCTGTATGTGTTTTGGCACTATGATATAGAAGTCAGTTCAGAGTCAAGAGGACAAAGGGAGAAGTGTTCAGATCAAGGAGGGTGTGGGGGGTGGGATAGGTGGGTCAGGAAAGGCTGCACTGAGGAGGCAATGCTTAAGCTGTGTCTTGAAAGATGAGCAGGTTTTCCAGAGGCAGTAGTTAGGCACTTCACTTACAAACTCAAAATCTTGGTGGAGAAAGTAACAGTCTACGTGGTGTGATTCGAAGGAAAAATGTCTAATGTCCCTCAAATAGCTCCTAGAATACCACTATTAAAGATCTATGTCTTTGGTCTTGAATATTTTCTAAACCAGCGTTTCTCAAACTGTAATGTGCTGATGAATCAACTGTGAATGTTGTTAAGGTACAGATGCTGTAGGTCAGTACTTGGGTCTGAGATTCTGTGTTTCTAACATGCTCCTAGGGGGTACTGGTGTTGTTGCTCTATGGACCACACTTTGCTTTTTGTTTTTAAATATGGAACACTTCGTCAATTTGTGTTCCATCCTTGCACAGGGGCCATGTTAATCTTCTCTGTATCATTTCAAGTTTAGTACATGTGCTGCTAGAGTGAGCAGAGGACCACACTTTGAGTAGCAAGTCTCTAGCTAATAATAGCTAACATTTATCTTATCCTTTTTATATGGCAGGCATTATACAAAGCCCACTGCATCTAATCCTCATGGCAACCTTATGAGGGAATTAAGAATTTTCTATATTTTGAAAATTACTGAAATCTCAAATTCAGAGAATTCTCAGTCATTTGCCCAAGGCCACTGCTGTGATGAAACTGGAAATTGTATTCAGGCTGCCTCATCCTAGACCCTAACTTGTAGCTATCCGACACTATTCCCTCCCAGAGGGAGTAACACCTTAAGGTGACAGTTTTAGTTCTGTTTTTTTATTTTTTAAAGAAATGGGACCTTTTTATAGCAGCAGTATGTATAACAGATACAAATTTAATTTATCTGTTTAGCAAAACTGGGGACCCCAAAACCCACTTGCCCACTCATCTTCCACAGCAGCCCTCAGAGCATCAACTCAGAACCCTCGGACTCTGGGAAACTAAGCATGTAACCCAGTGCTTAGAGATGTTATGTTACTCTTTCTGGTGAGATGAGTAGACAGTTGACTAAGAACAAACTCAGCATCTGTATGGAAGCTCAATCAGGGATGCTTGAAACAGAGGAGGCACCAAAAGGAAAGATAGGAGCTTACAAACATAGCCACTGTTGGCATTCTTGTTTTCTCAAAGTTCGTTCTCTCTTGGTACCATCTTCCCTGAGGCCTGTCTGGGTTTACCTGGTTTCTTTCAGTTTCTCCCTACCATTGGCTTGTGCCTCTGCTCTCAAAAGTAGAAATGGCATTCTTGTTTGCTCCTCTCATCCTTTCAGTTAGATGCTCCCTCAGTGCCCTGAGACAAGCAGGGCTTGTGCCTTTCTAGGCCAGGCTTTAATAGTATTTAGTTCCATGGTTTTAAAACATTGCTCTGTGTAACCTGGAGCTTCTCCAGAACCTTTCATCACTGTACTTGGCAAGGGGGGTGAGAGTATGAAGAAAGAGCAGAGTTGGTTGGGGTAAAATAACTTTTCCATCACAGAAGTAGAAAGTCTGAGAGCCTAAGGAGTTGAGAATTCCAATGCTGATTTTGTTCCTGATGTAAATCATCCTTGAATGAACATTCTGAGTCCTCTTCTGCTGACTGTGGCCTGAGGAATCCTGACTCTTAGATTCTGATATGGGCTGTGATATGCTTCCCATTGCTTGCCTGAACCTGGTAATCTCTCTTCCTGGAGCCAGGGGAGACTTCTGCCATGAGTCTCAACAAATTCTAGAAATAGATAATAAATAACTATTTAAAAGACATGTCAACCCAGGCCACCTGGGTGTCTCAGTTGGTTAAGCGTTCAACTTTGGCTCATGTCGTGATCTCACCGTTCGTGAGTTAAAGCCCTGCATCGGGCTCTGAGCTGGCAGCTCAGAGCCTGGAACTCGCTTCAGATTCTGTGTGTGTGTCTCTCTCTGACCCTCCCCAGCTTGCACTCTGTCTCTCTCTCTCTGTTTCTCTCAAAAATAAATAAATATTAAAAATCTAAACAAAAAAACATTTCAACCCTAGGATTGCCTCTGATCATGCTGTAGTCTCTTCCATCCAGCTACCTGCTCGTGTCAACTCCTGACATTAGAGTAGGTAGTTAGGTTCTAACAGAATACCTTGAGGTCAGCAAAAAGGAAGTCATGGCCAACTATCAGGAAATTTGGAGGCCTCTTTTGACAGCACTACACAAGAAACCAGGTCAAACCAAGATGGCAGGTGCTATGATGGGAAACCATTGACCAAATTAGGAAGAAAAGGTGGGAAATCCTGCTTCTAAGAAATCTCTACCCCAAGTAATGAGTATTCCACCCCCTAGCTAACAACTGTCAATAAAAGATAGAAATCCAAACCCCAGGGCATGCAGTTTACTCACTCTCTATCTTGAACTCTCCCACTTTCAGATCTTGAAAGTATACTTTCATTTTAATAAACTTCCTCACTTGTGTTGCTCACCTACTGTGTTGTGTCTGTCCTTGAACTCTTCCTCCTGAGAAGACTAAGAACCTTCAGGGACATCTTTAGGACAGGCTGGTTCAAGGCCCCAGAGCCCAGGGTCTCCCCAGTCCACCTTGCATCACTGAGAGAAGCCTTCCCTGACCATCCCACCTAAAGAAGCTCTCCCATGTCCTGCTTTGTGTTTTTCATAGCACTTACCATTGCCTGGCTTTATATTATTTATTTATCTATCGCTTTTCTCTCCACTATAATGTAAGCTCCAGTTCACTATTATTACTTGCAGAACCTGGAGCATTGCTTGGGACATAATGGGTGGTCTGTAAATATTTGTTCAATGAATGGATGGATGGATGAATCTAATTCACAATGAACTACAGACTTATTCATTGTATCTGTAGTGCTTCTCTTTTCACAGGAAGCCATGTAAGTTTAAACATTCCCTGGAACATGGTAGTGACTCAGTAATGGACTGAATGAGAGATATGGCTATGAGAAGAGATGTGCACAGCTTAGATCTATGATTCTTGTTATGTGTGAGGGCACTGTGGACAGTCCCCATGCACACAAACCAGGGTAAAGCACTTTTAACATTATAAATATGGGGTTCAAATTTTAAAATTACTTACAGATTTTAGAAAATTACAAAGAGAAAATGGGAAAAAGAAAGATTGTTTTCATGATACAAAATACAAAAGGGACATGAACTTTTTGTTTCTTGTGTAGGAGCTCAAAGCAGACTACCCCAAAATGGACAACTTTGGCATGAACACTATACTGGGTTAAAAGTAATCAGGGACACCTGGGTGACTCAGTCAATTAAGCTTCTGACTTGGGCTCAGGTCAAGATCTTGCAGTTCATGGGTTCATGTCCCATGTTGGGCTCTGTGCTGACTGCTCAGAGCCTGGAGCCTGCTTCAGATTCTGTGTCTCCCTCTCTCTCTGCCTCTCCCACACTCACATTCTGTCTCTCTTGTTCTCTCAAAAATCAATATTAAAAATACTAAAAAAAAAAAAAGTAATCAAAATCTAACCTATGCAGGAAAAGCTCTCGTCCTTGTCCTCAACTGCCTAAATTCATGCTAGAAAGGAAAGCCTATGCTAGGAAGAGGGCTATTAACAGAGACTCTCCTTTACCTAAGGAACTTACTTACCTGCATAATAGGTAAGTACGTTTCTTTGTTTTTCAAAACCTCTCCTCTCACCTTGATTCCCTTTGTATCCTCAGACCCTATCCCCCTCCTTGGCTCATATAAGCTATCTATTGCCTCATTGTGTTTGGACTTTCATATCTGTGTGGATTCCCTGGAAGTACCCCATTAAATCTGATGTTCTCCTGTTAATCTTTCTCATATCAATTTGATTCTTAGTCCGTCTAGAAGGACCTGGAAGGACAGAAGAAGATATTCTTCCCTGACACTTGAAAGGTCAGCATGCAGGCAACACCGGACTGACAGTCCCTAGGGCGACTCTATCTTGAAAATCCTGTGATTCTAAGCCTGTGCACATCCCATGGCACATGATCTGGCTGTACATCCCCTTTCCTAAGGAGTGCCTCTCACGAAAGAAACTGCTGCTCAAATTGTTTTCTCCATCATAAAAAAAAAAAAAAACACCATGGAAATTACCAAACCACAACTGAGCTGTGGTCATAGCAGTCTTGAATGAGCATTAACAAGAAGAGGGTGCCATGAAACAAAGGCAAATTTTCCCTTTCCTTCCCTCCCCCATGCTGATCACATTCCATTTTTCAAGACAATGGCATCTATCCAGCTGGCATTTAATTTATGCAAATCCACAGCAGCTCATAGGTGGAACTGACACAGCAAGGGGCCACAGAAGGCAGACCTTGATGCTCTAATTGAGATTCTGTCCCTGGATGGCTGTAGAGAATGTAAAGTATCTCATATACAATCTGGGCTGCATCCATTAGTGTCCAAACTCGCTGCCAGGTGAAGCCGATCAGACACTGGCAGGCTTTGACATTTTAAAATTACTGTTTAAAATTACACAAATAATACCTGCTCATTGAGAACAAAATGAGTAGAATATAAATAGCCAGAAGGGCATAAAAATGATCAACAACCCAGGGAAAGCTAATGTTAACATATTGATATTCCAGACCTTTCTCCAAGCATGAACATACACATATTTTTCAGAACAAGGCATTATATTGTACAATTTTATGGCCTGAATTTTTTCAGTTAGCAATACATTGTAAAGAGTATTCCTTGTCAAGACATGCGGGTCTACATTATTTATGGCTTCCAGGGTTCATTATATAAGCATAGTTGCAGTGAATGTACTTGTAATTGAATATGTAGTTATTTATTTAAAATAATTATCTAAAAGTGGGATTTCAGGGTATGTACATTTTAGGATTTATGATAATATTTCTTCCCTGACAACATTTGGTATTATCATATAATAATAATTACTACTACTACTATTACTATTATACAAGCAGCAAACACTTATTTAGAACTGAACTATATGCCAGAAACTGTTCCAAGCATTTTATGCATATTCATCCATTTGAATCCTCCATACAAGTCTGTGTGACAGGTATTATGTCCATTTTACAGATTGGGAAACTGAGGTAAGGAAAAATAACGTGATTAAAGCTAGCAAGTGGCAACGTCCAAAATAAAGCTCAGAAAGACAGTAGCCTACAGTCTTAACCACCACACACAGACTTTATCAATTTGATAAAGCAAACAATTGACCTTAAGATTGTTCTAGCCCACAGCTGGATTTATAAGTATTTCCCAATATTTTAAAATTTGTCCTCACCATTTCATTCATCAAAGGAGTCTACCAGTTATTTTTTACCTGAGAAACATAAAATAGCACATGTATCTGTTAATTTTTTAAAACAAAAGTACAGGAGCTCCTGGATGGCTCAGTCGGTTGGATGTCTGACTTCAGCTCAGGTCATGATCTCACAGTTCGTGGGTTCAAGCCCTGCATCGGGCTCTGTGGTGACAGCTAGCTCAGAGCCTGGAGCCTGTTTTGGATTCTGTGTCT